TTTACATTAGTGTTCTAGCAATTTTAACTGGGAAGCAGAAAAGTTCAAATATCCTGCACAAGGAAGTCATCTGATGAATAAAAGCTGAAAACATAAAATGCTGCATTTAACCAAAGTAACTGTGTCAAATATATAGCACGTTTGTATACAGAACACAACGAGCTCTTTGCCAGCAGCCATATCACCCTGCAACTCACAACTGGCAACCCACTGAAGCTAAGCAAGTATGAGCCAGATCACTACCTGGACCAGAGACCTACTGGGAAAAACTAAGATTGCTGCTGGTGTAGCGGAGCTAGTTCGGACACGGTGACGTCATCACCCTCCCTGCAAGAAGCAGGGACCTCAGCTGCCAGGGCTGAGGGAGGTCTCCTTTAGCTCATGCGGCTGGCTCCCTGTTGCATTACGCCCGAGACCCGGGTTCGCACCCCAGGTGCTGCGGGACGAAACGGGCGGGGTGGAGCGGCAGAGGGCACGAGCCCGTGCGGAACAGTGATGGTCACACTGGAAGAGGTGTTAGTGGGGACGGCAGGGGTGCTCACCTTGCGGTCTATGATGGGGATACTGTAAACAGGCACCGTCCTTTGCCATTAAACCAAGGTCCTGACTCTCTGTGGTCATAAAAAATCACAGGGCATTTCTCGAAAAGAGTAGGGGTGTAACCCCAGTGTCCTGGCCAAATTTCCCATTGGTCCTTACCAATCATGGCCTCCTAATAATCCCCATCTATGAATTGGCTTCATTCCTCTGTTCCCCTCCCCACTGATAGCTGATGTGTGGTGAGCGTTCTGGCGCACTATGGCTGCCGTCACATCATCCAGGTTGATGCTGCACATTGGTGATGGTGGAGGGGAGTTCCCATTATCTGTAAAGTGCTTTGAGTGGAGTGTCCAGAAAAGTGCTTCATAAATGTAAGCAATTATTAATTATGAATTATTGTAGCAGAGACATCAGGGAATAGGGAGGTTCTCAGGCACAGAAGAGACTAACTAAGGGGAGTTCCCATTATCTGTAAAGTGCTTTGAGTGGAGTGTCCAGAAAAGTGCTTCATAAATGTAAGCAATTATTAATTATGAATTATTGTAGCAGAGACATCAGGGAATAGGGAGGTTCTCAGGCACAGAAGAGACTAACTAAGGGTCCGTCAACTCACATAAAATGTGCAAAATTAAAATAAAAAATTGCAAATAAATTCAACCTGGGTGAACAGTAAATAACCATTCCTCCCTTAAATATTTTAATTTTTTTTATTTAAAAGTTTGGAAATATGGACTTATTACATTGAAGTGCTTAACTTACTTGCCAAATCTTGTGAATGGCAAGAATTGTTTCTAAATTGATTTTCAAATCTATTATGATAAGTGGGAGAACACCCAGTATGGTTTAGAAAAAAGGGGAAGAAATTAGTCCAATGCACCCTATTCATTCATCTGTCCACTTTTGATAAGTATTTAGTCAAGCAGGAACTTAACTCAGCAGTCAATGAGTGCAAGGCACACACACAAAGGATAATTTAGAGATGCCAATTAACCTAGGCAGTGTGTCCACAGACATTGGGGAGGAAGTGGAGCACATGGAGAAAACCTAAAAAGCCACAAGGAGAACATGAGAACTCCACACAGAAGGCGCCCCAGGCCACAATCAAATCCAGGGCCCAAGAGCTGCAAGACAGCCATGCCATACACCGCATATAATTCGACATTAGGTTAGTAACACAACTGAAACTGGAACATGTAGCCCTAAACATGAAAGAAAAAGAGTGATGAAACAGCCTGCAGGAGCTCTGTAGCACAGCAAAAGATCAGCAGCTGTGCTGAGTATTAAATATGTTCAGTGCATAGATGTGAGGACATCAGGAAAAATGTTTATAACGGCTACAGTGCCTACTAGTCTAATACAAACAGAGGGGTTTACATCTCTTTTGAAATAACTAAAGCCATCATCATTCTGTCATAAAGCTACAACAGCACAAATACACCTATGCACAACTCAGCGATGAACAGAAACTCCAGTTCATAGAAGCGGAGTATTAATCAATCATATTGAATGCCAAGACACGGATTTGGACATGTACAAAACTGTGTAACTACTTTAGTCACACCTGGGGGTGAATGGGAAATGTTCTGCAAGCTATTGCAATAGATGAGTGACACACTGCTGGAAATACAAGTAATAAAAGTTAGTAATAAAAGAATGTGGGATAAAGGAAAAAAAACTTTCATGTAGCCATGCCACAATCTCAGTAACATGTTCACAGCTGCAAATGTTGACAGGTTGTAAGATACTGTTTAACATAAATATTACATAAACTGTTACAAGTGATGGGAACCTGTTTGATAGTATCTAAATCATCCAAGGATCTCATTCACCTGTTTTTTTGAAAGAAGCCAGACTATTGACTTCAAATAACATGGGTGAATAGTGTGTCCCATATTCCCACAACCCCTTGGGTAAAGAAGTGCCCCTTGGTCTTAATTTTAAATGCACTTCCACAAAGCTTACAACTGTGCCATCTGGTTTGTGGTTCACTATTCATTGTGAAGAAATCTGCTGGGTTGCCTTTTGTCAAAGTGTTTTACGATTTGGAATACTTGTATCAGGTCCCCTTGTACACTGTTCTGCTCAAGACTTAAAAAGGCTCAGTTCCTTCAGCCTTTCAGCAGGAGGCTTAGTATAAATGCTGGTCTTGATAAAGCAGCCAGCAATCGCCTACAATTAAAGTATCTTACCAGTAGCTGCAGCCCAAGCACTTGAAAATAAAGCAGCAACTATTTGAAACACCATTACACTTCTCAAACCCAGTATTCGTTCACTAGACTGGATGACATTTTAGCCTTTTTTAGATATTTTAGAAAGGTGTGAATAGACCACTGAACAAAGGCTGCCAAGAAATGCAGTTCTGAGCAATGGACAGTTTATCAAAACCAATGTTGTCAGCTTGCAAGAAATAAGAGACTGGGATAACATGGTAGAAACCCAAGTGGCTATACTGGTAATGCCTTTAGAGTAAGACATTGAAATCTTCAGTATTGCTCATTTTCTTACACTGGAGAATATAAAAAATAGACAAGAAGGAAATAACAGAGAGCACACTGGTAGTTGCAACAGCATCTGATCTGCGACATGCACCCATTACAGGAAATCAACCTAACAGACCTAGATCTGCTGACCAATTCTGTGTGAGCAAGGCAAAACAGCAGCACTAGATAATGTATCAGTCTCTTCTTCACATCTTTCTCACCTGCTACGCTATCAGTATGACATAGCAGATATATAAAAAAGTAATTTAATCTTGAATAACCAGCTGAGGACAGCATGATAAACCCTAACAAACACAGAAAGATAATGAAACCACATTCCAGACTCTCTTAAAAATGGCAAGAAACATTTCTTTGTATACCCCAAAAACTGGTGACATCACAGCAGACGTTTTCTGCAACTGGCATAACTGATACCAAACACAGAAACACTGACAACACAGCAGGTGTGTCATTCAGCAACATTTATTTTCCATGTAGTTCATGTGGGTAGCTCCGTCAGCATGCGTAGTCTGCACAGAACAAGTAATAGGTTTATTCCATGCTAAAAAGAGAACAGGTGTCCACCTGAAGAAGACTTCACACCTGAAACATTACATTTTCTCTCTTCACTTTACAGCATGGAATAAACCTATTACTTGTTCAATTATTTTCCATGCTAATTTTGGATTATTTAAATTTGTGAGACTATTAATGGCATTATAATAACTAATTGGGCCTCAGAACAAACTGTTCTAGTAACATTATATTGTTTAAAACATATTTGTCTTCAGCACGTACACTGTATACTGTAGTTTTATCTCTCTTGATCACAGTGTAATCAAAGAAAATAAGATTATGTTAACAGACTGAAGTAAGCTTCTTCTTAAACTGTTAAGCAGATCAGAGATTTTGTTTTTAACCAAGACTTCTCAGAAGTATCATATCGAAGCAGACACCACTGGGCATTAGTATGTATTATCTAAATATCTGGATGGTTGTATTCAGCAGAGAATGACAAACAAGGCATGGTTTGTTTCTATTATTTTTTCGATTAAATGTCAATAATCATGATATACTTAGTATCTCTTCGGACGTTTTACACAATATATGCAACAATTCATTCCTGTTGGAAACATGTCTGCACTGTAAACACAATGCTTAAAATCTATTTTAGCCCCTGAAAACACAAATTAACAGGTGTCAACAGGGACGAGATTTGCATGTTCTTAAACTGATAGAAAAGCCTAATACCAACATGTTTTTTAGAAATACATAGGAACAGGTTCAAAAGGCTACCTACCCAACTAAATCCATAAACTGAACTAGTCTTAAGCAGAAATAAAATTCTTTATAGTATTGGAGTCGTCATTTTAATTTAAAGAAAATATATTCTGTAAAAACAACATTAATAAGACCCACTTATACGACCCATGGTATTCTATGAATACACTCAGTTTCCGAAACAAGCTCTATGCAGCAGTGCGAGAACTATTCAGCCCCAGACAGTAGAGAACAGTCAGATGTTCGGGAATCGTGCAACACAATTTGAGCCATTTCTATTCATAGCACTGGTAGTTCAGGCTGGTAATGAGACGGTATCTGAAAACGGTCAAGTAAGCTGATTAAATTCTAAGTCACTTCCTGAATCAAATAAAACATCTGCAAATCACTCATCTAGAACAACAGCAGAAGAACTAAACACCCGACATGCAGCATACACTATATCGCTTGAAAAATGCACGATCCCAAGGTTTAGATAAAAAAATACCATGGGCTTCTGATCGTGTATACTTTTAGAAAAAACGCATTTTAAAATTCTCGGAAAAAAATGTTCAACAGGTCCTACCTAAAAGAGCCAATAACTAACAATTATGACAACGGTGTGCTATACCCTAAATGTGGGAAACGGATCATTATTAATAAAACAAGCAGGCCTTAAAACTGGAATCGTGTCTATTTTCCAAATAGCTAATAACTTACTTCGATGCAATCCCCTTTGAATCTTTTTTGCCAGGAGACTTCACGGACTTTATTTCTTCGGCGGGTGTAGAGAGCAGAGTTTGGTGGTTCTGTTGCTGTTCTGTCATCAGTACCATGTCGTGAACAAAACGCCTGCAATTCCCTTACCCTCTCCCCCTCTCTTTCTTCCCCAAAGTAACAGCCTCGTTTGGGTTACGACTTCCACACTTGGTGAGGAGGCCCTTCCCAGGAAACTTCAATCAAGCGAGAGAAAGTGAGAGAGGGAGGGGAAAAAACAAAACCTTCCTTGCCTTTGGCACAAGCACGAACTAGTTACCTGCTTTTGGCCTAATCCCAGCTAAACAATAAACAATATTTCCGTACTCTGCAGGCTGGAGCCATCATAACGAAAAACTCGTTGTTCAAGTTTTCCCGGACAACAGTTGATTAAACTAAGTTCGTTAATGGCAAAGGCGTGCATCTTGTTAACTCAATAAAGTATCAACCTCGGTTAAAAAGCGCTCGATTAAACGACACGGTATGCATTGGTTTAGTTAAGAACAATAAAAAAATGATCGCAGGTATAAAAAGGCTGGTGGGAGCAGAAACAGGAGCTCCACTACAGCCAGTACCTCGCGCCTCCCATTAACAAGACTCCCATTGAAGTAACATTATATTGAACTTTCTTTTATATCTACTGTATACTATGTCTTAACACAATAACGGTCTAGTTAAATTATAATCTATGACTACTGTTACACAAAACTAAAAGCTTTTCTTGAACACAAATAAGAGAAATCTACAAGTATATATCGTCAATTGCACTTTCTTAACGTAAGAGATGCCACAAGATCCAAAGGTAAAATGCAGAATTAAATTTTGTTTCATCAGGGAAGGTAAAAATGATTAATTCCTGCTTACTTCAATGCAGCATCTGTCAGGTCTCTTGTTTTTAAATACTTAGGTTTTTGTGTACTTATCTGTAAATATGTAGATTTGTAAGACATAAATACTGTAATTAAATACGCATGAGTGTTTTGAGTTATGAACACAAGGAGTCAGTTGTGCCTTCCAAACAATTAGCCAATTGTGTTTTCACCAAGATGACGAACTTGCAGAAATGTTTACTCAACATTGTAACATGTAAATACTTAGGTTTTGCCACAGGGACGTTAAAATCCGCCGTTTTCTAACCGTTTCTTCCAATACAGGCTTGCAGGGGAGCCGGAGCCTATCCCGGCAAGCAGAGGGTGCAAGGCAGCATACGCCCTGAACAGGACACCAGTGCATTGCAGGGCACAGACAGACACAAACATACAACACACACCTGGGCCAGTTTTTCCAGAAGCTAATTAATTTACCTGTATGTCTTTGGGCTGTGGGAGAAACTGGAGCATCTAGAGGAAACCCAAGTGAACACAGGGAAAGCATATAAACTCCACGCAAGTAGCATGCCAGGAATTCAACTAGGGTCCCAGCATTGTGAGACAGCAATGATAACCACTGTACCACCATGCTGCACAGTACATTATCTTTCTTTATAATTCAGATTTTTCCTTTGCAAATTCAATAACAGCTTCAGTATTGCCCAGTATAGACCAACATTTTCATATCATATTAATCCATATATTAAGAGTGTATATGTATATTTAATTTTAAATTAACACGTTCTTTTTGCACTAGCATTTATACAATATGTTAATTTTGTGACGTCAGTCTGACAACACATTTTAGTGAATTTGTACTGTTGGAAAACAATTTAGCTTAAATGAGCGTAAAAGAATTAATGAATATTTAAAGGTAAAGCTTTTACTTTACATCCAAATACAGTTTAATTCTCAGTAGGATTTAATACACTAAAAAAAAACTGTAATGGATGTGGATGGCAGATTGCAAGTTGATATCAAGAAATACTATGTCAGTCTGTTATATTGTCATCCATGAAAGCACTTGGAGCATGTGAGCTTGGGTTCATATGAGCAAAACAGAGAAATGTAAGTGAAAGGTGATTTGGCTAAAGGCCCTTTTGAGGGTGGAGTGGTGCAGTGATTACTATTGCTGCATCACTGTGTTGGGGCCCTGGGTTCTTGGGGTACAGTAGAGTTGGTTTGTTTTTCTTGTGTTTGCTTGGGTTACCTTCAAGCATGCCAGTGTCGTCCCAGTCCAAAGACATACTGCACCATTAGATTAGATACCACAATGGGCTGGTATGCTATCCGTGGTGTACCCTGCCTTGTGCCCATTGCTAGGCAGGATAAGCTCTGGATCCGGGCTCCCCTGTAACCATGTATTGGAAGAAACGGTTAGAAAATGTTTGGATTTTAACATCCTGTGGTAAAGCCTAAACAGTTGCATGTTACAATGTTGTGTAAATATTGTTGTGTAAATATAAGTGACTAATTGTAAGGCAACTGGCTCTTCATGTTCCTAGCAATTAGAAAATAAATGATGTATGGCTTCATGCAGGTTAGCATGTACCTTCCATGTTTTGTAGCTGCTGGGCTAGTGTCATATACAGTATATTTTATAGTGGTTAATGGAAGCCTGGAGAGAGGACGTTAATTTCCTTTAATCACTGAAAACTGCACCAAAATCTAAAAGCTACTTTTTCCTCCATTTAAATGAATGTATTGTATATGCAGTATATAATTATGTTTTATACATTAATTATGTTTTTTGTTTCGTATTTACATATGCTTTATTTGTGATTTACCCATATAAATAAAAATGATCCAGTTTTCATTAATACTTAGAATGGAAGAACTATATCCATGCTATGGCTGTTACAAAATAAACAAATCAAATAAATCTAATCAAATAAATAAATCTTACTTTCAAAACCAGCTTTTTAAAATTCAAGAGGCAGTTTAGCACAATGTCCTTACTGAAACAACACAATGTCTTTTTCACAAAAAGTTACCTCACAGGCTGTACAAAATAATGTCTTTAAAAACATACATCTTCTGATTTAAAGTTTGTTTTTTAAACTTTATGTAGAAAAAATAATTCAACAAATGAATTCCTCTCTATTTTTCATATTTAAAACCCTTTAGGACAAATACTAAGAGTTCATTATGTGTCGATTGACACATAACAGCACATATGTGAACATATCAGTGTATTGTTAAAAATGAGAAGGATAAAGATTTAGATACTTTACAGTTATACAGTACTAATTCCAATCTGATGGCACCAAGTTCTATAAGACAGAGTGAAACTGATGTAATGCCGAAGGATGCCATTGAGTACTTTGGGCTATGACAGCTGTATACACTAGAATTTCTCTGTGTTCATAACCTGTGTTGTCTACATTGTGAGTGTTCATTTTGGAAGAGGCAAGGTATGTAAATAAATACATACTATAGGACAGGAGTCTTCTTCTCCAAGGTGAGGAGAGGTTGAGCAGACAATGTCATCAGCATCATCTACAATACCTTGCAAAAGTATTTAGACTATTGTCTGAATGTTCTATTGTGTGTATTAGGCTAGAGGCATTCTTTGCTTCAAGGACTGCTGATGGGAAAAAAAGGGCCTGATTATGTTTGGTGTGCATTGCGTGACTATTCACAAGCTGGTACACCCTGTTTCTCTCTGACAAACAGGTGGAGTTAAGTCATTGCAGGAAAAACACCAATTAAGGCATGGCAGCTTATTAAAGTGACAATTAGGAAAACAATGTTATAGATACCTATATATCATTCTACATATTTCTTTTATGTCACGTCTTGAAAAAAAATTGTAACTTTGAAATTGGCTATTTTTGTGTTGTAAATACCACTCTAGGCTCCATGAAGTGCAAAATGTATTTCATTTACAAATCACAGCCCACAAAACATGCTGTCCTACTGGAGCTCACTCTTCCTTGGGAAGATCGTTTGAAGGAGGCCTTTGAAAGGAAACTCGCCAAGTACAAGGGACAAGTCAGTCAATTTCACAGCACGGGCTGGAAAGCAAGGGGCATACTGGTCGAGGTCAGATGCAGAGGTTCCACAGCTCGATCACTGTTTAGGGCTCTCAGTGCACTGGGCATTACAGGGGAGAGGAGGAGTTGAGCTATTTGCAAGAGGAACAAAGCGGAAAAAAGAGCTTCAAGATGGCTCTGGCACACGAGAGGAGATCCATGGGAATCAGTTTCGTGCCACCTAGACACAAGCTGATGTCCGATCAGCCTCAGCTGGGTCACTTGGGGGAGAGTGTTTGATTTTGAAACACCCAATAAACCCAGGAACATCACTTTTTAATTGGATTAAAGTCAACTGATAATTGTTCTGACCATGGTAGATAATAGAAGTCTGTCTCATGCTCTTCAAGTCAGCTATGCATTGCCTGCCATTGAGAGTGCCATTTACTGGACTGGGAATTCTTAATAGTGTGACACAATGACTTCAATAAGTTTACCTATCAGTGTTATATACTGTATTTAAAATGCCAGCCAAAGAAAAACATTCTTCAAATGATGAAATTATGAAGAGACCTAGTATTGATATTACATAATTAAGAAAGTTGAAAAGAGCACAAGAGAGAACTGTTTTAGAAACAATTTTAGCTTTGGAACTCCAAAAGGAAACAGTATTCTGCAACAAGGATGGTTCAAAATGCTCTTTTTGCATGCATGATTACAGTATATGCATTTTGCGGTGCTGATAAAGACCTTAAACTTCATTTTCTTTTGTTTATTTTGTTTCTGCTAAGGCCTGTCGTGACACAGTATGTAAATATGGAAATCTACATTAAGTCCTTTGCATAATCATTGGTGTGTAGATGATTATGCACTTTGCAAATTAGCACCTGCAGCATAAGTAGTTTTAAGTAGGTACTGTAGCTGCCTCAGCATGTGTAAGCTACAAAGGCACAAGTTTGGAATAAACTTTTACTTGTTCCCCTGTAGCATAACGTCTGTACTTGTACTTGAGAAATTTCCTTGAGGCTATCCTGCCATTCTGCTTCATTGCAAAGTCCAGTGTTATGTCGACACACAGTGTTAGTTCATGTGACACTCTCGTGCTAAAATGGGGATAATGTGCCATGTTACAGCACAAAGGGGTTCTGGACGGCTCACTGCCTTCCCGTGTCAGTTCTGTAAGATGCAGAATAAGTGGCACATGTGCCAAACATACTCTTATAGTCTGTTCCAGTTTTGCAATATACTGTAACATACAATGAACATTATTTCTGTAGAGGACACAAACCATCGGGAACTTTTCCCCCATCCATGGTGCATAGAAACACACCATCTGCTTTTGATCTTTACCTATTCATTTTCACCTGCCTCAATGACTAGAAACATCAATTGAAAAGAACATTTCCTGCTGTCTCCCCTTCAAGGTCCTGTCTCTAACAGTCGAAGAGCCAATAAGCAACATACAAAAGCTTGCCCAGCCAAAAACATAAAAAGAGGACAAGAGACCAAAAGAGAACGTTATTACTCTGTGAAAAACACAAAAGTTTAGAAAATAACATCATCAAGGCAACCCATGAAATTGCAGTATTAGTCACCTTTGTTGTTTTGTCTGAAATGTTTTGGCAAACAGAGTTCATATTGATCACTAAATGTACCCAAGTATATGAGTTACTTTAGT